TAACAATCACCTCTAAAATAAAACTGCAAAATTTAGCCAATTCTCTTAAAATAAATAGGTAGCCTTCTTTCCTTAATTTTTTTTTAGTTAAATCAGTTCCTCAATTCAAGCCCCAAAACTGCTTAAGCTTCCTTTAAAAAAATGAGGGAAACACATCTCTTGGTTTTATTAGTAAAAAGTCCTCAGTATTTTCTATACAACACTGAATCACAATTTCTTTAATGAAATATACACACTATTTTTAATTATCATCTTAATTTTTTTTAATGAAATATACAAGACCCATGATTAGTTTTTTTACAGTGTGGGTGTATATTAGCAACCACATAATCAACATGTTTTGTGATGAAAAGCGTTTCTTTTGAGCTGTACGATATGTGTCAGTGTATATAATGGTTTGTGAAGTTCAATTATCTTTATGCATCAAACATATGTGACTCTGGAGCACAAAACCAGTCATAAGGGTGCATTTTTTGGTAATTGAGATTTATACAACATATGAAAGCTGAATAAATCAGCTTTCCATTGATGTATGGTTTGTTAGGATAGGACTATATTTGGCCGAGATACAACTATTTGAAAATCTGGAATCTGAGGGTGCAAAAAACTCAAAATATTGAGAAAATCATCTTTAAAGTTGTTCAAATGAAGTTCTTAGCAATGCATATTACTAATCAAAAATTAAGTTTTGATATATTTACGGTAGGAAATTTACAAAATATCTTCATGGAACACGATCTTTACTTAATATCCTAATGATTTTTGGCATAAAAGAAAAATCGATAATTTTGACCCATACAATGTATTGTTGGCTATTGCTACAAATATACCCCAGCGACTTCAGACTGCTTTTGTGCTGCAGGGTCACATATTATAATAAAAAAATGGCATACTGCTGCCATACAGTACTACACACTAAATATGATGCCCAAACATTCTGTCTAAAGGGATAGTTCACTCAAAAATGAATATTTACTCACCCTCATCTCGTACCAAACCTGTATTCATTTCTTTCGCCTGTTGAACACAAAAGAAGATATTTCGAAGAATGTTGCTGGTCCACTTGACGGTCCCCACTGACTTCCATAGTATGGAAGAAATACTATGGATGTCCAGCAACTTCTTCTTTTGTGTTCAACAGAAGAAAGAAACTCATACAGGGCTGGAACAACTTGAGGGTGAGTATAAATGATGACAGATTTGTATTTTTGGGTGAGCTATCCCTGAAGTTGGCAACATGTTTGGTTTTGAGAACACACCCCAGCGCTGTCTAAGCTCACTAGATTTATAACAAGCCCAAAAATGCATAATTTTTTTTTTTTGGCTTACAAGGAATATTTGCTAGGAGGCAACATGTTGTCCAGGTATAGTCTACAGTAGTTTAACCCCAACTATGATCATCCTTGTGCGCGGGAAAGTAAAAAAAAAAAAAGGCAGCTATATATTTTCATGTATAAAGTCCCCCCCCCCCAAAAAATAATTTAAAGTTTTTTACATTTCATTATTACATTTTTTGTGAGTATTTACTCACTATAATACTGTATTATTAGCTGTATTTGTTTATTTATTTAAATCTTTTTTTTTTTTTTTTTTTTTTTTACATTTTTATCTAATTTTTATTATTTATTCATGTATGCATTTTAATTTAATTATTTATTTAGTTAGTTTAGGTTTTAATATTATTAGTTAATTTGTACATTTAATAAGAATAAGTATCGCTTTTTATGTCTCCTCTTTCCTACTACTTGTTTCACTTCTGTTTCAGTTTTTTTAAACCTTTTTTTTACTATGTGTTAGTAAGTTGTTGTTATTTTAGCATGTGTGTTTGGCTCATGTTTATTTTTTAGGATTACTGATAAACTAATGTAGTTTGATTTGTATTAGTTATCTATTTTAGTTTTAGTTACAGTTGTAGTAATGTTGTCATTTTATTAGTTTTTTATTATGTCTATATAGGTTTTTTATTAAGTTTGTTTTATTTAATTTGAGTTATTTCAGTACTTCAGCATACAAAATGGAAATGAAATAATATATATATATTGAATGTATTTATATATATGTACATGTATATGTATATGTGTGTGGCTGTACATACACACATGTAGTTGTTTTTTTTTGGTGTTTGGCTTAGTGTTAAAATCATTATTATACTCATACCTTTTGTTCTTTTAATATTTTGAATTGTTTTTAGCTTTATTTTTTTGTTTTCATTTAAATGTTTAGTTTTGAAATGTTGTTGTATGCATTTGTCATTTTTATTTAATTTATTTTCCTTTCTTAAATGTGTATATATATAGTATTTATAGAGTTTTAGCTTTTAGTTTTAATTACTTTTTCTTATTTGTAAGTCGCTTTGGATAAAAGCGTCTGCTAAATGACTAAAAGTAAAGTAAAGTAAAAGTACATTTACACTGATTTTCTCTAAACTTTTCCAAAGACCCTTGTGGCCCCCTATGATGTCTAAAATGCTGTATAAAGAGGCTCACTAGTTTGCAAAGCATTTCCATCTAGTCTTTCTGTCAATAATCTCTGACAAAGCAAAAACCGCTAATTTAATATATCCGCTTTATTTTGAACACAAGATCGGGCGCGCCATTTCTAACTTGAATGTGCGCGACTTCCGGTGTTTGTCATTCGTTTACAGGTATTATACCTGTACAAACCAGTCCGTTATGCTGCTTGATATTATACAAACTAGATTAAAAAAAAATCATATTATTTTAATGTATTTTCGTAAACATTAACACCGCATGGTTTGTAGGCGCCATAGTTTCACAGATGCATTTTGTTATTCTTAGTTTTGGCGGGAAATGAACCGGAAGTCTCGCAAATTTACAGAAAATAGCTATTTCGCTTAAAAAAAAAATGCTATTATAATTTTTAAGTGTATATACTAATATTAACATCTTGAAAGTCACTTTAATAATGTGTAGGAGATTATAGGAGCGTGCATTAGCATGTTCTCCGTTGTAAATGAATGAAGGGATTTATGAAGTCATTAAAAGATAGGCCTCATGAGTGCTATTGTTGTATTTGTCCTGAGATTGCTCTGGTTGGATGCGCTCTCTTCGCCCACAGATAATGCACGTCTCTTTCTTTTCCCCCCTCATGTTTTCTGCTCAATTAGTAGCTAGTGAAGCGCTTTTTCTCGTGTGTCAGCACAAGCACCTGCATCTGGAGGCGTCCCCATCAATGCTGCTTTATTCCGCAAACCTTCACTTATGCGCTCGGTAAACGGCGCGCGGATGACAGCGAAATGATACGGTACCGGCGCCGTTTCACAGCAGGTAGCGGCACAGAAAGAAGGAAATTACCAACAGCTGGTTAAGCTTTGTTTAGCTGCCTGCTTTTGTGTTTTCAAGCACTTGGCACTCAAAGTCAAAGACAAACCAGCAGCTGTGTCACAAAACCTAGTCGCCGCATTTTTAGCACCAATTGAGCTGCATAATAACCAGTGTTGGGGAAAGTTACTTTTAAAAGTAATGCATTACAATATTGCGTTACTCCATTAAAAAAGTAACTAATTACGGTACCTAGTTACTTTTTATGGAAAGTAATGCGTTACGTTACTTTTGCGTTACTTTTAAAATCTGGACAGGGCTTGCTTGTTTGTTTTTAAAATAAAAAAGTAATATTTTGGCAAATATAAAAGCCTTTTCACACCAAAAGTGAAATGAATAAGCCTCAGGCTGAAGGGAAAGTAAATTTACATCCGTACAGTAGAATGCAGAAGAAGAAATTTCAACACACAAAAAAAGACACACAAATGTTTGTCTAGAGTAATTT